CCACCCACCCCACATACGGTTTTCAGGCTGGAAGGAATGTATTTATTTATTTATTTTTCGCATTTAAACCCCGCCCTCCCCAAGGGGCTCAGTGCGGCTAACAAGGGCAAGGTAAACCATGCCATAATTAAAACATAATATACATAGTAGCTTAAAACATAATAATACAATTTAAAAACAATACTTAAAAACAACGGTGCTGAAACCTCTGATATTATAGATCCGAAGATGGCATCAGTGCAGTTCCGGTGGTACTTCCAATGTTGTTTGCGTCCACAGGAGAATGGCTTAGATCTTTTTTGAAGTATCCAGGTGTTTCAGGTGTTTCCGCAGGGCCTCATCAAACCATGACGGTGATGGTATAGTAGGGGCGGCGGCTCCCACTCCAAAGGCTCGCCGGGGCTGGCGGAAGAGCTCCGTCTTGCAGGCCCTGTGGAATTGCGTAAGGTCCCGCAGGGCCCGGATCTCCCCCAGGAGCTCATTCCACCAGGTAGGAGCCGCCACCGAAAAAGCCCTGGCCCTTGTGGCAGCTAGTTTGGTGTCCTTGGGGCCCGGGATGACCAGCAAATTTTGGGCCCCCGACCGTAGTGCTCTTGGGGGAACATATGGGGAAAGGCCCCTCAGGTAGGTAGATATGGTTCTGCTCTCTGCTCCCAATGCTTACTGCTGGTATGTGGACAGCATGAACCCTCGTTAGGTTTTTTTTGGGGGGGGGGTATTTTTTTTGTAAAGATCATATTTGTTCTGCATATCTTGAAGGTCTCTCCTGTCTCTGGCTCTGTCTCCCCATGTTGAGGCCCCTTGCACCATGGGGAGGCCTCCAGGTGGGGGGGGGGGGCGCCCTGGGGACCCTCCTGAACCACAACTCCAGACTCCAGAGTTCACCTCCCCTGGAGAAAAGGGATGCTTTGGAGGGTGGGCTCTCTGGCATGGTCCCCCACTGAGGTCCCTGTCCTCCCAGGCTTCCCCCCCCCAACCCCTGCCGGTGGCCAGGAGGGAACTGGCGACCAGTGTTCCCTCTAAGATGAGTCAGTGTGAGCTAGCTCACAGTTTTTTAGCCTCCGGCTCGCACATGTTTGTCTCAGCTCGGGAAGGGATGGCTCCAGAGCAAACTAATTCATGCAGCAGCCAAATCGCTCGCTCACAACTTTCATGCCGGTAGCTCACCGAGTAGAATTTTTGCTCACGAGACCCCCCACTCCCAGCTTACAGGGAGCGTTGCTGGCAACCCCAGCACCATTATACTTAAGGGCCTTTACAGGTAAGGGGAGGGGGTGGGTCTCACTGTGCTTTTGGCCAGCCCACCAGCTGCCCTTGATTCCTAGCTTGGACGAGGCTCTGTCCCTTTCGGTTTGTTCCTTCCCCGTTTCTGAAGCACGCAGTGCTATTTGCCACCTTGTCTGTCTCAACTCTCCCCCATCCGGCACCAACAAGGCTTCATTCCACGGCAGGTTCATGCAGTATTCCTGAAGTCCCTGGTATTCTTGAGGCGGGTATTCTCCCAGCGGGCTGCCTAGAAACAGAATTCAGAGGCCACTGCATTTCTCCTAACTGTCCCCTGAACAACAGGAAGAAAAAGGATAGATCAAGCAGCACGTGCCTAGAACAGGCTTCTCAACCCAGCTGCTTTCGGAGTGCGAGCCCAGGACAAGAAAGCTCTTGTAAACTGGAAACGTGTGTTCGTTCTTCCACTCAAGCCATCCACATGCCCCAAACGTTTTACAGAAGTATATGTAAGCCAGTGGGCCAGTAAAAGTCCCTTGTTGGGCTAGCAGCTTTGGAGCACGTATTTGAAAGGCTTGCTAGAAAAGGGAGCAGCGTGCGGAGCTACTTGTAGCTGCTGCAGTAGTTTCCTTCCCAGGACCTCATTCCATGTGGGGAAAACAGAAGGAGTGAGTCGTGGTACTTTGCTAAAGCATCTGAGATGGTCTCTAGGGTCAGTACCCGCAAGGGTGTATTCCTGAAAACTCAAGCTCAGCTAACCAGTTTAGGCATATTCAAAGACGCTGGGAACCAGCTTAACAGTCCGCCGTGCTTCAAAAAAGAAACCTGGGGATTGTAAGTTTGTGAGAGAACTGAGAATCCACTATTATTACAGTACCAAAGCTACCTTGGTGAGGGAAGAGCCAAAGCTTGTTGTTGTTGTTGTTGTTGTTGTTTTGTTTTTGTGGTGCCATGACGCAGTCACTCCTTTGACCGTGATCTGCCACCTTCGGCCACACCTTCTGCAGAAGTCACCCAGATGCTGGATAACAAGAGCCCAGAGTCATCTGGTGTCCCCTCGTGGGGTCAACTATCAGTTGTCTTTTCAGGAAACAAGAGCAGAGCATCCCCACGGTCCATGTGACCGTTTTGCTGATTTCCCTTCTTGTCCGTTCTCTCGCAGAGAAGAAAACAAAGGGACCCTTGAAAGCAGGAGTGCGGAGAAAGACAAGGTGAGTGCTCTCTTCCCAGTGCTGCACCTCTTGCAGGCACACACTGAGTGGCGGGGTGTGGGCCTGCGCGGCAGCTGTGCCCCCTGAGCTGACATGGGTGGTTGTCCCCTGGCCTAGAGGCCACCTCCGGGACTCCTCACTGCACGTGGCCAGAGGCACTCTGATCCCCATTGTTGCGGCACATGCTTTACAGCTGCCATGGTGTTGGGGGCTGAACTCTCAGTTAAGCACTGAAGAGTTGTGCGCTGCCTGTCCACTCTTGCTTTTTGCCACTTTTCACCTCAGTCTTCCTTTCTGGCTTCAGATTCATTCTCTGAGCCTACCCCCCTCCCAGTTTTTACTAGCCTCTTCCCTGTGCTCTCTGACACACACACCCCGCCCTGCCTTTTGGCAGATTTCAGCTACTTTGACAGACATTTCATCCTCTCCGTCTGGCCCTGATCAACCATAATAAAGCCTTAATAATAAAACATAATAAAGCCTGCCCCCACTGGTGGACCTCCTGATGGCACCTGGTATTTCTGGCCACTGTGTGACAGAGTGTTGGACTGGGTGGGCCTTTAGCCTGATCCAACATTGGTGTCTCTTTTGTTCTTATTAGAGGGAATTAGATAAGCATATGGAGCAGAGGTCCATCAGTGGCTATTAGCCACAAGGTATAGATAGGGACTCTGGGGCAAGTGATGCTCTGTCTTCTTGGTGCTTGGGGGGGGGGGTCAATGTTGGGAGGGCTTCTAGTGTCCTGGCCTCACTGGTGGACCTGATGGCACCTGGTATTTCTGGCCACTGTGTGACACAGAGAGTTGGACTGGATGGGCCTTTGGCCTGATCCAGCATTGGCGTCTCTTATGTTCTTCTATGGAGCAGAGGTCCATCAGTGGCTATGAGCCACAAGGTATAGATAGGGGCTCTGGGGCAAGTGATGCTCTGTCTTCTTGGTGCCTGGGGGAGGACCTCCTGAGGGCACTGGTATTTCTGGCCACTGTGTGACACAGAGTGTTGGACTGGATGGGCCTTTGGCCTGATCCAACACTGGCGTCTCTTATGTTCTTATTAGAGGGAATTAGATAAGCATATGGAGCAGAGGTCCATCCGTGGCTCTTAGCCACAAGGTGTAGATAGGGGCTCTGGGGCAAGGGATGCTCTGTCTTCTTGGTGCTTGGGGGGGGCAACAGTGGGAGGGCTTCCAGTGTCCTGGCCCCACTGCTGGACCTCCTGATGGCCCCTGGTATTTCTGGCCACTGTGTGACACAGAGTGTTGGACTGGGGGGGCCTTTGGCCTGATCGAACATTGGGATCTCTTATGTTTTTATGTTCTCTCTGTCTCTGTCTCTCTCAAGAAGAACAGCATGCGATTCCTCCGTTGTCCTGCCGCCATGACCATCATGCACCTGGCCAAATTCCTCCGCAACAAGATGGATGTCCCCAGCAAATATAAAGTGAGTGACAACCAAGCACACCATGAGCTCTGGGGCCGAAGGCTCTGCTGCTCTCAGGCATATCCATTACAATCTTTCAAGGAAACCAACGGTGGCACTCTGTCGGATACGTAACAAATCAGCAAGGCATGATGCCTCTGAATCTGCTTTTAAACGTTCGTGACGTCTCCTGACTGGTGGTTCCAGCTCTGTCTGGGAGTTACCAGCATGAGAAGTCGGTAGAAGGGACACTGCTTAGGCCTCTGGCACTCTGGTGACCCTTCTTGACCCTGATGCTGTTTCACATTCATATTAAACCCTGGGAAGAGAGATTGTCTGGAGCTCAGTTTCTCTGTCTCAACGGAGGGCCTAAAAACACATCGCAAAGTCTTCGAGCGGGGTTTGGGTTTGCTGTGAGGCCTTTCAGTCAGATGTAAGTTGTGAGTTCCCCAGCTGGAAATGTGACTCCCAAGTACACAGGGACTCGATGCCGATTGAACGTGCCTGTGGTAGCTTGTAACATATGTTTAGGCCCTGCATCAGGTAAGATGGCAGATGTTATGGTCAATGCCTGGAGGTGGTAATACAGTAAAGGTAAAGGTTCCCTTGCTCGAAAGCCAGTCAAGTCCGACTTTAGGGTTGCGGTGCTCATCTCCGTTTCCAAGCCGAAGAGCCAGCGCTGTCCGAAGACGATTCCGTGGTCATGTGTCCGGCATGACTAAACAGCAAGGCGCACGGAACGCTGTTACCTTCTCACCGAAGTGGAACCTATTTATCTACTTGCAATTTCTTGCTTTCGAACTGCTAGGTTGGCAGGAGCTGGAACTAGAGACGGGAGCTCACTCCGTCATGCAGCAACCCGGGTCTCGAACTGCTGAACTACTGACCTTCCACCGCCTGCAGTTCAGCGTCTTAACCCCTTGAGCCAGTAATACAGTGGATGGGGGCTAATAAATGGGAGCTTCGTCCAGATGAGACTGAGTCACCTGATGAAGTTTTAACTTGAATTCTTGCTTCCAGATGTTGATTATTATTGATATTCTTTTTTAAAAAAAAGAAGAAGAAGAAGATTGTTTTATTATCGGCTGTTTATAAACAGCCTGGGAAGATTTGGGACTGAGAGTCTCTGTGGGATGTAAGTGGTTGTTGTCACAGATGGAAAGTGTCTTCTTGGTGGACTTTGTTATTCCTCACTTGCATTCTACATGAGAGGTACTGAGAGGCTCGCAACTCCAAAGCCCGGAAGTGTGGGAGCTGATGCCTCTAACCATGGGGGCGGGGAAAACTACTCTTTGCATGCTCAGAGGCACACTAGTTTATTTTTACCGTCCACAGAATAGGCTTGAGATGATGAATAGAGTTCCAGCCTCAGTGCTTTGCTCCAGATTCTGCAATGTGATAAATTACGGAAGTACGTCCTCCTAGTAAAGATCAGAATATTCTGGATATTAGTTTACTTCCAAGTGGCACTGAAACCACAATAGATTCAACTTCAAAGAACGATCTCTCTGCAGATTTTCAAAACTGACTATTAAGAGTCCCGGAAAGAGAAACAGCTAAATTGTGTTTCATGGAATGTAACAGGTTGGACTAACAAGATCCAAGATTTCACCTTTATTCAATTTTAAAAAAAGGCTTTGATATTATTTGTGCCTAAGAGACTTGGTTGGCTTCTAATTTGATTTTAAATGGGTATGCTTCATATGCTCATCCTGCTATTCCATCAGAAAATATCGTCAGTTACAGTGAGATCGGAACTGGCTTTGCCACCAATATCGATAATAGTTCACAAACTTGTTATATGTTTCTGGCTGGAGATCTTTTTCTCCCAAGCATCGCTTCTAGTAACAATGGAATATGAAGAGATGAAAGATATATCATGGAGATCACATGCACTGTCTTTACTGGCTAGACTAGGATTATTTGAGGAATATTTAAGGGGTTTTGATCATGTAGTTGTTAGACGTTTAATTAAACAAAGATCGTTGGACATAAGTTCACAAGTAGATCATGTGTTACTTAGTACCTTGAATTCAGATACCTTATATAAACATCTTATATCTTTTCCTATAGCTCGCCCAATTTACCTTGATGATCTAATGGTCACACAGAATATAGAAAAACATTTACTAGGGCTTGGATGGGTATTTTACAGTCAGCAGTAGTGAAGGGCTGGTACAATAAGATCCCGTTTGATGATCAAGTGTGCCAGTTGAGAGCCAGTTTGGTGTAGTGGTTAAGTGCGCGGACTCTAATCTGGGAGAACCGGGTTTGATTCCCCCACTCCTCCACTTGCACCTGGCTGGATGACCTTGGGCAAGCCGTAGTTCTGATAAGAGCTGTTCTTGAAAGAGGGCAGTTTCTGTCAAGAGCTCTCTCAGCCCCACCCACCTCACAGGGTGTCTGTTGTGGGGAGGGAAGGGGAAAGGACTTTGTAAGCCGGTCTGAGACTCCAAGTGAAGGGCGGGGTATAAATCCTATCGCTTCTTCTTCCATTGAAAATCTGGCTCATGTTACATTTCAGTGTCCAAGATTTGTAACTGTTTAGAAGAAGCACCTTAGAAATATTTTACAGTGTTTACCAGGGAGCTCAGAGCAAAATAAATTAGTTGTGTTACTGGCAGATAAGGACAGATGGATCACAATGCAAATGGCAAAGTTTGTAGCATCCGTTACCAAGATACCGTTAAAATTATTGAAGTAAATTATATTTATAAATAAATCTATTTAATAAGATCTTTTTGGTAGGATTTAATATACCATATACGGATTCTGGGGATTCAGACTTATTGACAGGGTTGTGTTAATTTGCATTATTGTTTCATTGATTAATTTATGTGGTAGTTTTTATTTACATCATAAATTGGTATTGTTATTGTATTTTCTTTCTTTCTTGTGTTTTGCTGATTGCTGTGGCTGAGCTGAAGCAATAAAGTTATCTGATATTATTGTGAAGTATTTTACAGTACTGGTTTGCTGAGTATGCATAATGCCTTCTTCTCTGGCACGTCAAGGGAGTGTCTGTCTTCATAAACTTAAGGACTACCAAAAGTACTTTTTAAAATAAAAATGAATCTATTCAGTCGGTCAAGATCCTGCAGTCTGTGCCCAGCACTAGTATCCATGTTTGTTCCCTGTGACTTGTTACTTATGTTGTTCTCTCTGTTAGGTGGAAGTTCTCTATGAAGACGAGCCCCTGAAGGAGTACTATACTCTCATGGACATCACTTACATCTACCCTTGGCGACGGGTGAGTAGAGGCACCTCGCTCTGAACACGTCGGTTGTCGGTGAAATGGCTTCCCCCAGAATTTCCCCAGTGGAATCCGTTTTGTAAGCCTTCGGCAGTGTCTGCTTGTAGGTGCCTGACCTTTGGCCTGCAAACGTAAGAACTAGAAATGTGAAACATATAGAAAAGCGAAGCCTAAGGTTTCATGGAACTCTGCAGACACAACCAGAAAATGGACAATAGGGGTAGGCTCGGCATCTGTCTGTAAGGGCCGGCAACTCTGCTGTGATCGAGACGCCTCCCTTTCCCACCGCTGAAGCGGCCACCTCCTTGGCTGCAGGTCAGGTCGGGCCTGGGGATCCTCCCGCTTTTACAACTGGTCTCCAGCTGACAGAGCGCAGTTCCCCGGGAGGAAATGCCTGCTGTGAAGGGTGGGTTCTGTGACTCAGCGCTGAACCATGCAGAGGTGCCCCCCTTCCCCAAACCCTGCCCTCTCCATTCTCCAACCCCACCCACCGGTCTTTCTGTGTGGCAGCTCTCATCATGCCGTGGGGGTGGGGGGGTGGAGGCAAGGCTCCCTCTAAGCGGTGGAGTCCTGTGAGCTGTTAGAGGGCTCCGTGTCTCAGGGTTGGCTTCTGGGGGGAGACGCCCACATAATGACCAGCGTTCCCTCTAAGCTGAGTTAGTGTGAGCCAGCTCACAGTTTTTTTAGCCTCCGGCTCACACATTCTTGTCTTCGCTCAGGAAGGATGGGACTCCAACTAATCGATGCAGCAGCCCAGTCGCTCGCGCACACCTTTAATGCCAGGAGCTCGCAGAGTAGGATTTTTGCTCACAAGACTCCGCAGCCGAGAGGGAGCCTTGAGAGTGACCCCTTAAGAAGGCTGCCCGGTCCTCCCAGGCCACCAGCCGGGGATTGGGGGGGGGGGAGGATAAGGTTGCCAGAGCCTGGTTAGGAGTCTCTTGGGAATTTGGGTATGCAGCCTGGGGAGGGCAGAGACCTCAGTGGGGAGGAAGCATCTGTTTTCTCCGCGGGGGGTGTGTGTCTCTGTAGTCTGGAGAGGAGCCGTAATT